AAGAAATTGGAGGAAGACCATCGCCATAACAAAGCTATGGAGTCTTTGGGCAAAGGATTGTATTTGAGAAAAAATGCTAAAGGTGGTTATGGGTTGTACCTCAAAAAAAAAAGTCAAAAAAACTAAACATCAAGCTACCCAAGAAAGCGCTTTATGATTATGAAATAAAGCAATATGCGAAGCTCTTGAACATACCTCATTTCCGAGGTGTCTTCATGCGTGACACTTTACCACGAGACGGTCCACGTAAAAGAGAATGCGCCGTCGTGAACTTAGATATTTCACAAAACAACGGAACTCATTGGGTAGCTTATAAAAAGATAAACAACAACGTTGAGTATTTCGATTCATTTGGTAACCTGAAGCCTCCACAGGAACTTGTTCGATATCTGAAAAACGCTAAAATTTTCTACAACAACGATCCTTACCAAACTTATAATCAAGTTAATTGCGGACAATTGTGTTTGAAATTTCTATACAATAACAACAACAACGATGGATAATAAAACATTATCGGAATTTACATTAGAAGAGTTTGAGAAGAATATTCCGCCGCTGGAATATTTAATAAGCAATGTGAGACCTGCAGAATTATTGAGTATATGGCACAAACTGCCTGCAGAATACACATCCAATTTTGATCTTCAAATACGACTTCCATGCTATGTTCACTACAACAGACCTGATTGGACAACACATTGGGATGGACCGGCTACTGCTCAAGCAAATTGTTATTTCTGTAAATTATCCATTCGAAAATAAACAAAAAAAAAAACTTGAATAAATGCTTAGTACACAGCTATATTTTTTCATTCATCATGTCGCAGTTGTTGAGAGTCAATAGCACTACTCATATATTTTCATTTCGTCCTTCAACACCGATAGTGTTGGATCCGAAAAAAGATTATGAATTGGCGCTTAGGTCTTTTACTTCATACAATTCCATACCGAATATTGAAAAAGGAGATAAATTTTATTATATCGACCGGATAGGTGGTGGTGGTGGTCAATTAAAAGTCATCGAGTTTCCGACAGGTTGTTATGAAATTACCGACATAGAAACATTTATACGAACGCAAATGAATCTTGAAAATGAAGTTGCTCCTCCGGATGATTATTTTTCTCTAAAACCTAACAATAATACACTGCAATGTGAAATCTTTAGCAAGTATTATAAAATAGTTTTTACAGAACCGAATAATCTTGGACATCTATTGGGATTCTCGAAAAAAGTTCTTAATCCTGGTCAAAAGCATTCTTCTGATTTACCTGTAAACATAATAAAAGTATCAACCATACACTTTGATGCTAACATTACGTCGGGAGCCTTTGACGGAGACACGCCTGCACACACGATCTACGAATTTGCTGTGACAGCCGATCCTGGATACGCTATAGTCGAAACACCTGTAAATTTACTATATCTACCTGTTATACCGAAACAAGAAATAACCAACATCACAGTGTTGGCTTTAGATCAAGACGGTCGTCCTGTAAACTTTCAAGGTGAAACTAGTACTCTTGTGTTGGAGTTGAGAGCGAAGCGCAGATGGGATTAGTGATTATAAGACATAGTGGTGCTTCCAAGGCAACTTCAGTATTACCCCAAGCACCTAAGCGACGACATCTACTACTAACTACATCAAATATCCTGTTTCTACGCTCACTTGGATATCATGTCAACAACAACAAGAATCATGTACAAAAAGAGAAAAACTGAGGAGGCAGCAGCAGCAGCATCACATACTTCTCCGATGTTTGATCTATATCGATCTCCAGCATTCGATGAATCTATTCGCAAGGCTGAGTATAGATCTTATACGCCGTTCATCAAGTCATTTAATTGTAATGATGTTGTGGAATTTAGCATCAATCAAGTAGATTCGTTCTTTGCAATGAACGCTTCCCTTCTATCTATCAAAGGAAAAGTTGAAATAAATGGAGGAGGAGGAGCAGGAGATGTATCTTTAGCTCCAAACTTTGGTGCCTTCCTATTTGACTCTTGCACTTACAGTGAATCCGCTAGAGAAGTTGAAACAGTACGTGATCCTGGTATTGTAAGTACTGTCCGAGCTTACGTATGTTACAGTGAGGAAGACTCAAATCATATGGCTATAGCTGGATGGAACTATCCTTCAACACCTATAATGGCGTCAACACATAACAAGTCTTTTAGCTTGCTAATGCCGCTTAAACATATTTTCAACATTTTCAATGATTATCCTATGATTACGTGTGGCAGACAAACTCTCAGATTTGTGAGAGCTAGAAACGATAACGATTGTATCATTATCAAGGAAAAAACTGGAACGACGACGACAGCGAAAATAACTATTGAAAGCATGGAACTGAAAATCAAACATATTTACCCGAGTGATGATGTGAAAGAACAACTTTTGAAAGCTATTCAAACTGATAAGCCGATACTTATACCATTTAGAAAATGGGATCTGAATGAACTGCCTGCAATTACCGCAGATGCGAGAAGAGAAATATGGTCAGTTAAAACTAGCACCGCAATCGAAAGACCACGTTTCATTATAGTATGTTTCCAAACCGGTAAACGTGACGTCGCAACCTCAGACCCTACCCTGTTTGATCACGTGAATGCTGCTAGTATTCGAGTATCTTTAAATGGTGAATACTATCCCAACGAACGTATGCAATTGGACTTTGCAAACAATCACTTTACTGAAGCTCATTTCAACTATAGCGACTTTCAAACCAGCTATACAACTTCTTCTTCTCCTCTGAAGAGATGTCTTTTAGATTATACCGCTTTTAAAAATCGCGCTTTGTTTGTTATTGACTGTTCCAAACAAGAGGAAACCATGAAATCATCAACTGTTGATGTTAGATTGGATATCGAAGCCGATACTGGCTTTCCAACCAACACCAAGGCCTACTGCATCATTATACATGACTGCTTAATCGAGTACTTCCCCCTCACCGAAGTTATTAAAACCATCTCGTAAGCAACGAAGGACTCTCAGTTCCGCATCAGACATCATGAGGATCGCGTTTGTTGACATTCAAGGCTTTACAGTTGACGGATTATTCGTACCTAAAGAACTATGTATCGAAATTGGTTTCAAGAAAAGTCATTACATCTTTACACCTCCGCAACCTTTTTCTACATTAAATACTAAAGACAAGAAAACTGTCGCTTACTTGGAGAAGAATTTCCATGGGCTTAAATATTCTTCCGGCGACGTTAAATATTCCAAGTTAAATGAAATAATTAAAAATAAGGTGATATATGCGGCTGACTATGTCTACGTTCGTGGAGAACAGAAAGCAAACTTTTTACTCAAGAAATGTCACATTTTTGGTGTTTTTCCCAACATTATTGATGTTTGCAAGTATGATGGTACACCGTGTGCTACTGGAAACTTTGTTGCTGATTCCAATCCATGCCACACCAACGGACAATTTTCCTGTACCCAGAGAAATGTTGAACGTCTACGCCACTGGTTTTCAAATATCATATTACCTATGTAGTTTTTTCTATTTTCAATAAAATATTAAACGTATTATTGTAGTTTTATTGAAAATACCTCTGGTTTGCGAAATAATTGTCAGAATGTCTATACTATTTTCATTTTGAACGGTATCATCCTGTATAATAATAACAGTACATCGTATACAGGTTATGAGACATTCTGACCGACCGACCGACCGACCAGAGGAGCCCACCACGCTATTTAGGTCACGCCTTGCTATATACGATTTAACGATATACCGTCGGTCCATCGATCCGCTATTTTTCGATGCACCCCTGTATACACGTTGCCCCCCGTAATCCACGCCAACACCAGACAGGTGCGACATCGGCGCCATCTATGCGCGAGATGCCCAACCCATCAATGGCAGCTGTCCAATGACGCATAGATTCCGTTAGGTTTGTACAGCGCCAAACAAATCGGCGCCATCTATGCGCGAGATGCCCAACCCATCAATGACAGGTGTCCAATGACGTATGACAGATGACGTTTTAACGCCATCTATGCGTGAGATGCCCAATGACGCATGACAGGTGTCCAATGACACACAGATTCCGTTTGGTTTGACAGCGCCATCTAGCGGCGGAATCCCCAACTCATGAATACAGATTCCGTCCAACAACCTGTCAATGGCGCGCGACGCCAGCGCCTCTGGTGGCGGATTTTGGAAGTTTTGAGACCGAATCCCCATAAGACATCTACTGATAAGCTTTCTACCGAGCTGATCGTGGTTTTTATGGACATATAACAAGAGATGTCAAGGGAATATGTCAGATAATCAGAGTCCTGAACCATACTGAACTAATGCCGCACTGATTTGAAGAAACAAAACATTTCAGAATCAAAAAGTGAATTATTTCATTCAGCGGCGTATCTAGAGGTTGTTGTTTCGATGCTGTGGAAAATTGTGCCATATTCCCTATAAGAAGTGCAAAGCTTTTTTCATTTTCATCAACCAAACAGTTCTATCAATGGCTAATTTATACACACAGCTTATCAATGCTTGGCGTTTCTTCCTGGTCCCATTTTAGGTGCACACGCATTGATGGGGAGACAAGCGATTAGTGTCGCGCAAAAATGCTGGTCAACAATTTTCGTCAACGATCTGCGAGACAGCCATATGTTCACTTTGTCGAGTGACATTGTCAATCATTGTTCGGTGACACTGGTCATGGCTACACTGTGAGCAGCTAACCACAAGACTGCTATTTGGCCATTTTTTACACAGTAGATAACCAAGTGCTTATATATATATACGAACACAGACCAGCATTTACGTATAGAACTGTGGTGCTCTGTAGCTACCAAGCGCTTGGCTGCCTATGGTATTGTAACGTTTTTCTGGATTCTTTTGGATATGAATTAAAACACTCGATTCCGTTAAAAGAAATGCACTAATTTACTTTAAACACAACACAACTAACTTCAACTTAACTAGATTTATGTACACTATGTATGTCTGACTACTTATTTACGAATTATTATGTCGCGCCATTCACTCAACTCTGCTTCCCTCTCCCGGTCGTCGGCTTATATATTCCGCATCGCAGGTACTCGTAAGTTCGACAAGGTTCCGGTACGCCACATATCGGCAGTCCAGAACCTTCGGGGCCAGTCTGCGATCTCGAAGGAGAGTGCCTGGCGTGGTCCCCAACAGATGTCGCTAGTAGTCTCGCACCGAAGGAGAGTCCCTGGCGCGGTTCCCAACAGATGTCGCTAGTAGTCTCGCATCGAAAGAAAGTCGCTGGCGCGGTTCCCAACAGATGTCGCTAGTAGTATCACTCATTCTTGTTACACCATAAACATGACCAATTCGCTGAACCATGAAACAACATTGTCTACTGTTGGTTGTTGTCGCAGAGATGGAAAGCAAACAAATCCTGTTCAGCATGGCCAATGGTCCCTAATAAGTTACTTCATTTTAATAAGTCATCAACTTCCTAATTTTACTATTGTATCTCACGATTAAAAAATTGGATAATAAAATATTAACTAAAACCTTGGTTAAAAGAAAAAGATAGTACAATCAGTGTATACAGTTTATTGATATCGCATTGTTTTATTATATCGTAAATATTTTATAACTCATACCATCTTATATGGTTATTATGGGAGAAATATAGTTCCCACGTCTCTGGGCCGGCAATTAGGGATTTTATTCAAATATTTATAGCTTCTGGCACCACCATAAGTAACAATTGCGTATCGAAATGTTTATTTTCCAAGACGACTCTTTGACTAAAGACCCTAAAACGGCTGTAGACTACAAAAACCTCAACATGAAAATATGAGGAAGGTTCATTAACGTTTCTAAACTGGTGGACAGTTGATTTGCAACTTGGAAAATTTTACCCAAATTCAAATCTCGATATTTTCTGGACAGAAAGAGATATCGAGCTGCCGTACTCGGGAGGATCTTGACCATCTCTCTGAGAACACATACAGCGTTCGACCGGTATATTCTTCTTATTTATACACCTTTACAGGGCCAGCAAAGGAAGTCTTGTTTTTTAGCAAAGTTTGGGGATATGTCAGATTCTCAATTTGTTTCTCTCAACTACCTATACCTCAAACATGCAATTGCTAAGTAACAATAATATTGACTGTAGACTTGACAGTATAATTTTATTTTCTCAAAAATGCCTCGCCTTTTTCAAAAAGAACGAGAGAATCTTATAAAATTATTGGGAGAAGGTCGTTGAGTGAATTATGTAGCTTTAATTTATAATGTTGTGACAGGGAATATTTCATTCGTTTACGTTGGCTAACCTTCCTCATTTGAAGTGATTGGTTGCAATGGTCTTGCGGACTGTAAAACGATTTTAAGAAGATTGCTGCGATCCTACTTGGCAACATGGCTGTCACAATGGAAATGGAAATTGTATCTGAAAGTCCAGATACAGCGTAGGTTTGGGTTGGGCATCTTCTTGGATAATAATGAATGTCTTAAGCTTATATCGCTTTATAGGAAGTTTTCCATTACCTAATTGGCAACATTTTTGTAGTCTTGTATTGAATGGTTAGCAAAAACTAGACAACATCGCATTAGCTATCACGATTACGAACGCAAAGAATGAATGTAAGAGGATGCTGGGGCATACAATATAAAAGATAACGACTATGATCCATTTGTATATGAACTCCGCGGGACTTATCAGTAACACAGCGTCACTGTGTTACTTTGTGAAATTATATCATTTTGTACATCCTGTGAGTACGCATTAATGGATGGAAAACGTCCAGATCTGCCGTTATTGCGGGTCGAGAGATCGATAGAGAATAGCTATATCGGACGAGTTAGGTATTAGACATAATATATGTACTCACATAATTTATGCTAATGTGTATATCACTTTAAGCCTTGTCCATTCTACACTGAGGTTACGGAAAAATGGTGTCTATTTATAGTAAAAGTATATCAGTTGAAACAGTAAGTTTCATTAAGATTCAGTTTCGAATAGGGAAGATATAAAAATACACACGATGGCCCATCCATGTGTGGACGGAATATTACTCATAAACAAAATACATTTTGGGAAAATCTATTTATGGCTTGTAATACATGACATTTGAGGACACATTTCTAAAATATTGGCAATTATACAGGGTGTCCCAATTTTGACCTACATATCAAAGCTGTGATTTTTTAAATGGAATGCCTCCAATTTTATTTCATATTTAGCAATCCAAAAGAAGAACATTGATATAACATAGTATGGGGTTTTGGTAATTAGCTTCTGAGATGTAAGGTGTTTTGTCAAGAAAAACCGTCCACTTCGGCAACCCCTCAATCCGCCATTTTGAAACTTGGAGTGCTGACTTTTTTATCAAAAAAACATACACGCCTCAGCTTTTATCCTATTTGTTACTTTTTCGATATTTTCATTTTTGCTCATACAGGGTGGTCAAAAACGCGAATTGTACTTTTTCTCAACAATTTCAAATGCATCACCCTGTATATTTGTGCAAGTTTGGATTCAGTTTTTTTGGTATGAGGATTGATTCAGATCAAATCACTTGATTTTGAGTTGTTAAGCTTTTAATAGAAAAGCACACCAAAATTAAGAAAAAAATCACATCATTCATGGAAACAAAAGACCAACAGTGGGCTAGTTCCATATTGCCACTGAGAGTACCGATTTGACGTAAAAACTAATAACAATCAGAACAGTATAAATGAGCTTCAAGCGTAATAGAGAAAAATAACTATAACAACAACATAAACAAACAACTATCACTACTCAAGACCTAATCTTCAAAAACTGTTCGAAAATATCTCCACCATGTTGAATACACAACCGTAGTCTTTGACCGTTGCACATCCCTCAGCATGTGTTTCCTTATGTTTAGAAAAGCGTCCTTAATCCTTTCTTTCATATTTTCCGGGGTAGATGGTGGATATCTATAAACCTCTTGCTTAACGTAGCCCCATCGAAAGAATTCCATCGATGTCATATCTGGTGATCTAGGACGCCAAGATATAGGCCCATCACGACCGATCCAACAATTGTTACTCCAGGTATCTAAATAGTTACGCACACGATTATGATAATGCGCAGGTGCGCCGTCATGTTGGAAGTACATATGCATCCGAGTATGCAGGTTGACATCCTCCAAAAGCAAAGGCAAATGCTCGATCAAAAAATTCAAGTATTCTGTACTTGTTAATCTGCTGTCGAAAAAGAAAGGCCGAATAACTTGTCTGCCAATAACTCCTCCCCAAACATTCAAGCTCCAATTATTTTGGAAATCTATTTGCCTAACCCAGTAAGGGTCGCATAATAGTGCATGTTATGCCTGTTGACAACACCATCGCTAAAAAGAACCTTATCCAGGAAACTAGTGTCTTCACTCACTTTATTTAGCATTATTTTACTAAACTCCATTCGGGCTGCGAAATCCTGAGGACGAAGGCCTTGATGCAAGGATTTGCCATGCACTTAAATGGGGATTTTCCTGCAACTTTAATAGAACCTCCAACTGATTCGCCTCATTGGTGACATTTAGATTAGTTATACATTTATTACAATATTCCACTACTCCACTTGATTTACAACCTTCTCGTAGTGTAGAAAATGTTTCCGGCCTTGGATGTCGCATATTAGGGTACCATTGCTTATAAATGCGAGATGCTAGGAAACTATTTCTTTGGGCTTCGCCCAAAACGAACACCATATTCACCATTTCTTCTTTAGAAAAATTTTTCAAATTTTCAAACACATATTTATTATAATGCGCACAAAGCTAATTTTGACAGTTTGTAACTAATCAACAATTTATTTGTTTCCAAGGATGATGCGATATTTTACGGAAATAATCCGTTCCATAAAAGACGTGCTAATAACCGAAAAAATAGCCGTAAAACCCTTATGTGTCTAGTATCAAAAAAGCTTATAAGAAATTGAATCCAAACTTGCACAAATATACGGGGTGATGCATTTGGAAATTTTCAGAAAAACTACGATTTGCGTTTTTTTTTGACCACCCTGTATGAGCAAAAATTAAAATTCGAAAAAGTAACAAATAAGATAAATGCTGAGATGTGTAAGGTTTTCTTTGATATAAAATTCAGCACTTCTGATTTCAAAATGGCGGATTGAGAGGTTGCCGAAGTGGATGGTTTTTCTGGACAAAACACCTGACATCTCAGTAGCTAATTACCAAAACCCCATAGTATGTAATATCAATCTTCTTCGTTTGAATTGGTTTATTCAAGTATGTAATAAAATTTGAGGCATTCCATTTAAAAAATCACAACTTTGATATGTAGGTCAAAATTGAGACACCCGGTATAATTGACAATATTTTGGAAATGTGCCCTCAAATGTCATGTATAACATGCGATAAATACATTTTCCCAAAATATATTGGTTTATGATTAATATTCCGTCCACACATAGATGGGCCACCCTGTATATTAATGTAACATATGTGAATAAAATGTCAAAAAAATCATGAAGGAATGATACTACAATGTTCTTATTTCATGTAATAATGATTTTTATCAATAAACAACAATTGAGCGCTTCGCGAAATGGAACGTACTTTAACTCATCGATCGTTATCAGTGACGTCACTCCTGATATGACAAGATATTTGAGGTTATGATAAATCATTGTGGCAACTGTAATACGATAATATATATCCTATTTCACGAGTATACATCACGCTTTGACGTCAACTGGGGTGAACAGCTGATCATCAAGTGACATTTTTGTGTTAGTCTGCGACTTTGGCCACAATGAATCGAGTGTAAATCTAGTAAAACTTGTTTTTAGCGTTTTGTTTTTTGTGTGCAAATGAACTTTTCTAAATAAAAGATTGGTTAGCAAGTACAAAATGGATATGTAGCGTACAAAAAACCAAAACAAAATACGACTCTGACTACCTGACGTTGACGGATCCGTCAGAATTATGCGACCTGTTCCGATATGGGGAATTTTGAGATATTACTAGATAATCAGCTGTCATTCTACCGTGAGGGATACTCGTGAAATAGGGTATAAGCGTCGGTCATATTGAGAAGAATTCGTACTTTCCATTGAATTCTTTGGCCACATTTCAGCAAGAATTGTGACTCCGGCTCGGAATATTCCATCTTAATACGGGTGACCCTTGAACTATAAAAATGTGTAAGAGCTTTTAGGTACCTAAATCCAAGAACACAGGTGCGCTATACGCACTGTTCGATGTTAATGACTATTTCGGTGTTGACAGATAGCAGGAGTGACGCCATTAACTAGTATGCTCGTTTCTACGGGAACATTTCAACGGGCAGCTCAAAAAATGATTTTCAAGTTGTTTACTTTAATATATTTATGTAGGTACTATGCACTATTTCTACATGGAATCCTCTGAAATAAAAACAAAATAAAAAATGTTGTCAAGAAGGTTGACTCTTCACTTCTGACGCAACGCCCTCGTCAGTTCATAAAGGATTAAATTCAGCACAAGTTAAACCCTCTGAGAAAAAATAGTTACGATCATGTACAACAGAAGAATTAAACGGATGAAGTCAGTCAAACAAGCCCATACAATTAGTCCGTAGACATTATTTCCCTACTCTACGGGTAGTTACCGTCTATAGGGAGATGTGGCCCCTCCCTATATCGTCAGACGCGTGGAACCTCTGCAGTACGCGCAGAACAGTCAGACTGACTAGATAGCAGAAGGAGACGCGTATCAAAAACATCTCTCTATCATTCCAAGTTTTAAAGACAAATGTACGGGGATACCAATAGCTACTAGATGCGTAGAACGTATTACCGGGGTTGAGAGCTTCCAAATATCGTCGCTTAAGTTCTCACACCGCATAGCTCAAAACCTTGATGGCCGAAACGTCGTCAGTGAACAAACAGTATTTTAAATATATATGTTTTCATTTATCGGCCAGATAAACATGGAGGATTATAAGATATGCATGTCATTCGATAGAAATTTCAAAGGCGGACAGTTCTTTTTTCGCTCCTAAAAAGTTATCAGTTTTTATACCCTCCCCACCCTTTAGAATCTGCAATTTTTAACCCCTACTAATTTTTGTTCTGCAAATGACGAGCCTCTGAAAAAAAAAGTCAAAAAACGAAGCATGTGCAATTTTTATTTTTTCTTCGTGTTTTTACCCCTAGTCCTGCCGCCACGAAACCGATTTTCAAAAACTACAAAGCATTTTCTTCATCGCCTTAGTAAACATTTCATCCAAATCCGAGCAGTACTTGTGAAGTTATATATAGATGGGTCAAGGATTAGCGGAGAGACAGACAGATAGGCCGACAAACACACACAGACTGACGGAAATAACATCCAAAAAACATTTTCGAAGTTTTTCACGTTTAAAATACTTCCTCGCAGTGGCGTAGGAAGTGAAATGTTGCATTTTCCCTATTGTGTGTGAGTAGTCAGATACATACAAAGAATGAGGGTCCATAAGCGAGTTTTTCCGTTTTAAAGTAGCTCAAATTTAATGTTGACCGTATCTATGGAATTTTTTTACTTGAATATTTCGCAACAGGCGTATGTGAAACTTTTATCAACATTCTTTTTATTTTAGTACTTGATTTTTCGTAAAAAGCTCAAGTAATTTAGTCATATTTGTCCAAAATTCATGCATTTTCGAATGTTTAACTTCCTATTTACATATGCGCATGCTTCCTACTTCAAATCTGATAATCTACACCGCCAAAACTGAGAACTATGGGCTCTCGAAGCACACTAAAAAAGATAGATGTTGATTGAAATTTAAAATTAATATGTTCTGAAATTTGACTGCAAAGTTTTCATGGATGCGATTAACTTGCAATTTGAAGCAAAAAATGATATCAGGCTATAGATTATTTCTGGACTCAGTTTTTTCGGCCCAAAGAGTTCAAAAACTCACCTTCTTTTGTTCGCGTTCGCGAGCAAAAATAATTTAAAATTCAGCACTTCCTTGTTAATATTTTATCATTATTTTCCTTGAGTGAGAGCTAGAATTAGCTGCACCATACAAAAAGATGCTACGTAAACAACAGTTGCAAAACATATATGATTTAATGTAACATCTGACTTGTTTATATAAAAAACGAGGATGCGTGGGAGTTACGTAGTCCATTTGACTGCTACTCAGACCGGAAGCTTTTGGAGCCATCGGCAACGTGTTAGCGCAAAAGTCAATGGCTCATCATCCCGAATATCTATACTTGAGTGAATGATCTCATGCAAAAATATTCAATGTATCAACCTCACAAGTTTACGTACTTCCTCATTTTATTCCAATGATAAAACTGCGGTTTTACGCGCGAAACGTGTACGCTAAATGGATATTAATAACAGATACACGATTATAATCAACAAACATATACCATAATCATGATAAAAGCATCGAGTAAATGATAGTCGCTATAGTGTTTATTTGGTAATTACCAATTAATGGCTGCGGCATCAGTGAAAATATTTTATTAACCTTGGTGATAAAGTATGATCGTCTTCAACCTTCAGCGGTGCGGTTTGTTTGTTTTTCTTCGTTGTCGAACGTAAGATTATTTTTAACTTTACAGGTAAATGTACAAAAATTGTGACTCATTTTCACATTAAGGATGGAAATATCTTGCATTGCTATTATTGTGATGATTAACTTAAACATTATTGCAACGGCAAATGTTATCTGCGAATTCATAATGGTTTGTCAAGTTTTTTATGGAGTGCTTTTGTAGTGATTCTCAAATGAAAATTATTGCAGCCCGAAATAAGATTCTCCAGTGTCGCTACAAGATCATCTTTATTCCAAAAAGTTCTGCTGTTTTTTTTTAATGTCTGCTCATCATGTAATCCACGCAAAAATTCACAAATTCGTGAAGGCTGCAGTTTTTTACTATTTGACGTGACAGTGGCAGTAATATTGTCGGTTTATGACCCCTGGTTTAATTTGATGGTAATGACATCGTCTTTTTTCATGTCAGGAATTTAAACGAGTATGAGTATGAAAATGTATGTAAATCGGTCACGTATATGCGTAAGAATCTCCGATATATCAGGGAGTGCATATCGATACCGTCACTAAAAGAAATTACAACCGTACACACGTCGAAACCACGATGCAAAATCAGATATTCTTGATTTTTGACAAATGCTAGTTCACACGTTTGACCAACCATAATCCTCGAAAGAATGGACGTGCTGAAGCTTTATTTTTGCCGTGTTTTAAAAGTTCACGATGATTTTTACTTCCCACGCCACACTGGCGAGGAAGTAGTGTAATCGTTAAAGATTTCGAAAATGGGATGTGTTTTTTTCGATGTTATGTAATATGTGACATGTACATCACGAAAAACCATGTCACTTATTTCCGTCGGTCTGCCTAACGGCCTGTTTCCCGGTCTGCCGATCTGTTTGTCCGCTAATCCTTGGATCGCCTAATACTTGAAAAGTACTGTTAGGATTTTGATGGAATTTTCACACAAGGTACTACTTTTCCAAGGTAATTCTCTGGTAATTCTACGCACCTATTAGATATATTTCACACACCACAGATTTCGCCGTACATTTGCCATCGAAACTTGGAAAATATTTTCAGCAGACCGCTATCGGCCGCATACGCCGTGCACCACAGGAATACTATATCCCATCTGTTATATTCGATCCGAGCAGACATGCAGCGCGGCGACAAACGAGATGGACGCGATATTATCTATATATGAGCGTTATGCTTGGAGTAATAGCCTATAAGTATTTATCAATATATACAGGGTGTAAACGTTATGGTAGTCATTATTGAAATGGGTAATAGGGGGGTCAAAACAAGTCAAAAAGTTCATATGACCCATAGTCCAAAAGTCAATAGATTTTTGTCTAAATGGATTTACAGTTTACAACTTTAAGTGCTTTATATCGACCACAATCACCACAATCTTACTAATTTTTATAATCTAGTCTAAAACGTTTTTAAATTGGATAATTAACAAATAAATGGCAAGTTTTTCTAAATTAAGCCAACATTTGTAGTCAGTAAGTAAGTTTCATTAAATTGAGTATTTAAAACACTCATGACAACAGCACAATTTTGATACACACACTGTTTTTCTTTTTAAAACCCACACTGCACTTTTTTCGTATTTAAAGAACGTGTTGAAAATGTCGTCCTCCACTTTCCACACAAGCTTCATTACGACGAACCCTGTTTCTTCTTACTCTAGGATCCTCGAAGTTGTCCATTTATTATTTCAGCCGCATTAAAATTTTTTCGCGAAGTTGTGCTTCAGTTGTTATTGGACAAGCCCCATAAACCATCACTTTAAGCTCTCCCCAATACCAGAAATCCATCGGATTGCGGTCAGGAGATCTTGGTGGCCATTTTCGAGGATCAGCGTAATTTCGACAGATCCAGCGATTTGGATACTGTTCATTCAAATACTGAATGCCGCCTCTAAAAATGTGTGGTGGTGCCCCGTCATGAAGAAACCACAAATTCTGTCTCCGTTGTAATGGCATGTTGTCGAAGGTCTGTTTCAAAGGTTCTGGTAGGTTATTGGCTAAAAAGCTAAGGTATCCTTCTCCTGACAACTTTGGGGGTAACTCGAAAGAACCAATTACCTGATCGTCAAGAATACCCGCCCAAATATTTATTTTAAAACTTTGTTGGAAATGACCTTCACGACTGGTATGAGGATTTTCTTGGGCCCACGTGTGAGTATTATGGAAATTTAATATCACGACTCGCCTAAAAGTACATTCGTCCGTCGCTAGAATGTTTTAAAAAAAATCCGGATTTTCAATATTTTTGTGGAAAAACTACAGAATGATAGTCTGCGAGAATAGTCTTCTAGTAACAAGGCCTGCACTCGTTGTACATAGTAGGGATAAATCAAATTTTCCCGTAGGATTCTATGGACTATGGTATGCGATAGGCCTACGCGGCGGCCTAATTCCCGAGTGCTTATATCTGTATTGATTTCCACGATATTTAAAATTTGTTCCTTCTGCTCTACAGTAACCTGTCTTTCACAAGTGCGAATATTAGTGGGCTGAATACTTCCTGTATCTCGAAGTCTTTGGTACACTTACACAAATGTCCTTCTGTCTGGGTGTACCCGTTGGCAAAATCTGTGGCGATAAATTTGAGCAGCAAGATTTGAATTCTGACGAGCTTCACCGTAAACTAACAACATGTCGGCGAACTCTTGATTCGAGAACATTGCCCGATGCCCGATAACTAGCCACTGTTACCGTTTGCGATCGATTGCCGGTTCGATAAGAGTGATTATGACCTACGCGCTGTTGTCATGACTGACTACAAATGTTGGCTTAATTTAGAAAAACTTGCCATTTATGTGTTAATTATCCAATTTAAAAACGTTTTAGACTAGATTATAAAAATTAGTAAGATTGTGGTGATTGTGGTCGATATAAAGCACTTAAAGTTGTAAACAGTAAAGCCATTTAGACAAAAATCTATTTACTTTTGGACCATGGGTCATATGAACTTTTTGACTTGTTTTGACCCCCCTATTACCCATTGCAATAATGACTATATATATATATATATATATATCTCAAAGAAGTGAGGGTCTCGTATACGGATACGCTCATTGATGCAAACTGAGGAATTTTGTTTCATGAAAAGCTCAAATAGTACATTACTGGTTCTGACAAAACCTACTTTTTTTGAGGTCTTGCAAAATCTTGAAAATTCGACAAGAAGTTGTTTCGAAAGCCTGGGAAGTATAGAGTCAATCTACTTGACGCTGTTTTTCGGAGTGATCAATTGGATTTTTAGGTAAATATTTTGGCGTAGTCAGAATATATTCATTACATACTGTGGTGGAGAAATATGCCAGTATTATAATATAAGATTTCACACTTTTTTGACGAATGTTTTTTTCGGTGTTTCAATTTGTATTAAAATTTTATAGGAACAATCACCCTTGCCTCTAAATTTAAACTCAATTCTCACACAACTTTTCTACAAGCATTGCCGGAAAATAGGCGTAACATTATAAGATCTAATTTAAATAAATTAGGTTGATAAAAAATAAAGAAACAAGAAAATAATTTAAAAAAATAGATATATCAAATTAAAAAACAATGAAAAAATAAAAGAAAAACAATAGAAAACAGTCGTTGTGCAATCTTGCAAATTGAAAAAGAGGAGAAAATAAAAGATTCGATAAACAAAAGTTAAACAAAAAAAGAACCTGATAAAAAACAAGGCAATATAATTATATTCGCATACTTTATGTAACTAGAAATAGAATAGTGCTAAATAAAGGATGTTCTATTTTCTATTTGAGCATGATATTGCAAATAAATATCCCGCCAATTGGTCATCGACTGTTCCCAATAACAGAGCAAAAAAAATATAATATAAAATAAAAACAATATAATAATACGTTTCTTATTGCAAAAAATTATGGGCTTCCATCATATAAAAATGTATCAACCCGGATGCATCGGTCAGCACAAGCTTAAACATGGTTACAATCCTAGACCGATAAAAAGACGGAAGTTGGTGACATAGTTGTATCGCTAGGAAGGAATCATTTATTGTCGGTCAGTGTATAATCGATAATTATGTAAAAAGGTGAGCGCTTACATACTTTTCAGCGTCGTTTCTTCAGAGGTTTTCCATCAATTGAATATTATCTGTTTGGCCCGAAGCTGCTCATTGACATCGTTTATGGCGTATTGCTGCTAAGCCTCCTTAGTCTAGTCAAGTAGTTTAATTATTAGATTTCATGAACATGTTTTTTTGAATTTTGGGTTAGATAGTTTTTCTGTGTATTTCTGATTATATACGGCAGAATCGTATTTTACTCAAAATTCTACGTACAAATCCATATTAATATTTTTTTGGTCATGCAATCATAAGTACAGCTTACTTCCTGTAATCCGACTAACATTATGCAGGGCAGTGTCGGACTATCGAATTTGTCGGATTATAGAGCACTGCCTAAGACCTCCTATAGTCCGGAATTTTTTACAAAAGAGTACCTTGTAACCCGACAAATTACATATCCAATGGTAAGATTATAT